TTTTGTAAAATTGTTTATTGTCATAAATAAAAGGTTTTACAGTGTTAGTTTGACAATATAGATGTTGGTACAATTTAACAAGGTTTATAAAACAAAGTTTGCGAGGAAAGCTTTAAATTTGTTGTAGTTAAATGATTTGCAATAAAAGTATTTGAGTGTTAAACATTGTAAAGTTTGAAGAAAGAGCATGTTTTGCATTGATTTGGTTTGATTAAAATTGCTGAAATTGATAGCGATTAAAGTAGCATTAGCAATAGTAGCATATTAAAGTTTGAAGCACAAAGTAATTGGTAATTGAATTTGATTTGGCAGTTAACACTTCTAAATCATTGTGATGATAGTATTAGCATTGATATGCTGGTTGAGCAGATAATATTTGATAGATTAAAATGGTTGAAGCCTTAAAGTGATGTATTTAACATTGCTAGTAGTAGTTAAACAATTTGCGCAATTGGTGGTAGCCTGCGAAAAGCTTTTTGTTAAATTTTTGCAAGGCAGGTAATTTAGTTTATGTATAAACAAATAATAAGTAAATGCGAGCAATTATTAGATTAAACAAAGTTAAATGCAGGTTTGGCGTTAAATGTACAGGCTGGTAGTTCTGCGATTAAACATTTTTATGACAGTGGTTCACATTGCAAAACGTTAAAGCCCCGAGAAGGTTTTAAGTTAATAAATCACAAAGGCAGGTTGTGAATGTAGTTACCAAATCTTTTGGTGATGCTCTCAGGATTTAGGCTGTTCCTAGCTTGATTTAGGAAGACTTTTAGTCCATTAACACTGACACTTTCATACTCCTCCTCCATAAGATACCTCACAACTTTCCCAAGCACCCACTGCACTGTGTTGTTGAGGGTAGCAGGTTTCCACACCCGGTCGGGCCTCAGGTAGGCGTCGGCCGTCCCCAGGCGCATGACATGCCGGTTGAGCCAGGCCCAGATGTCGGCCGCGGCCCCGCAGTTGACAAGGCGATGGCGCAGCGTGTCCTGCGCGCCGCAGTGGGCGCACAGGTCGGACCACCACACCACACTCCGGATTCGCGCTTAGACTCACAGGTTTCCAGGCCAGCCCATTGGCAGGGCGCGCGGCCCTGCGCTCCGGGCGCCCCGAGAAAGCCCCATTTCGGCAGGCCGATATCGAAAAAAAATATGTAAATCGCCATTATCTCGGAAAGTATTTGAGCTACAGCGCCCCGATTTAGCCTGTAGATTCTTCTAGTAAAACTGAACAGATCCTGAAGTGGGCGATCACATCACCTAACGAACCGGGAAACCAGTTTTATATCGTTTCAAAGTAGGGTCGTAGTTCGAAATTATTAGAACTTTGATTTCTCGAAAACTATTCATCCCAGAGCGTCCTGGATTTGCGGGGCAGTTTATATTCATAGGCCGAACATTCCCTGATAGTTTCCATCCCCCTGGGGTAAAAAATAAAAAAATAAAAAAAATCCCCCAAAAATCAAGAGTCGAACCTACGACCAGAACACCGATTTCTCGGAAACTATTCATCAGGCAGCGACCTGGCTTTGCAGGGCAGTTTATATTCACAAGCCGAACATTCCTGTCCAGTCTAAATTAGCTGGGGTAAAAAAAAAAAAAAATAAAAAAAATCCCCCCAAAAGTCAAGAGTCGAACCTACGACACGGAGAGCCGAATCGAGTAGAGATCCAGCACGCAACTCTCTAAGCTACCAGACCACACTCCAGACCCGCGCTCAGACACATTTCCCCCATTTCGGCAGGCCGATATCGAAAAAAAATATGTAAATCGCGATTTTCTCGGAAAGTATTTAAGCTACAGCGCCCCGACTTCGCCTGTAGATTCTTTTAGTAAAACTGAACAGATCTTCAAGGGGGCGATCACCTAACGCACCGGGAAACCAGTTTTATATCGTTTCAAAGTAGGGTCGTAGTTCGAAATTGTTAGAACTTTGATTTCTCGAAAACTATTCATCCCAGAGCGTCCTGGATTTGCGGGGCGGTTTATATTCATAGGCCGAACATTCCCTGATAGTTTCCATCCCCCGAGGATGGATTTAAAAAAAAAAGAAAAAAAAAACTGAAAAGTAGAGAGTCGAACCCACGACACAGACAGCCGAAACGAGCAGCGATCCAGCACGGAACTTCCTGAGCCACCAGACCCTACACCAGACCCGCCATCACACACCGATCTAAGAGGCATGGCGTCAAACGGCAGGGCGCGCGTGCCTCCGGCCCGGAGAGCCAGAAGTGCCCCCATTCGGCCGCTCCGCCCTAATGGGACCCCAGTGCCGAGTCATCGTCACCCTCAGTCAAGTGGGGCAGCGTTAACCACCAGACCGTTCGTTTATCC